ATGATATATATATAGATATATAGATATATAGATATATGATACAGTTTAACATATCTGTTGCTGTTATTGTTAAGTGCCGTCAAGTCGGTTAAAACTCATAGTGACCCTACATAGGGTTTCCGAGGAGCAGCTGGTGAGCTTGAACTACTGACCTTGCAGTTCAAATGGCTTTGCAGTCTGGCACATTAACCCACAGCGCCACACCAGGACTCCATATATATACATACGTACATATATGGTGGTGGTGGTGGTGTGCCCTGGATACAGTTCCAACTCATAGTGACCCTACATAGGGTTTCCAAGGCTAGAAATCTTTACGGGAGCAGAAAGCCTCTTCTTTCTCCCATGGAACAGCTGGTACTTTCTGAACTGCTGACCTTGAGGTTAGCAGCCTGACTCGTAACCACTGCACTACCAGAGCTATATATATATATATATATAGTTTAATATGATTTAATAGCAAGCTAACAAAACAACACAGAAGGCAGACAATATTAAAAACACGTACTTGCCTGTAGAACAACTCAGTTAGAAAAGTATAGTGGATGTACTCTTACATGTGATACAAATGCTATAAACACCATTTAGTTGCCATCAATAAGAAATTTACTTGTTAAAAAAAAAAATCCAAATGCTGGCCTTGACCAGAAAAGTTTAACAGAATTATTTATAATTATTATAAAGTTCAACTGCTGTAACTTGTTCACTAAACATTTTGATTTGCATTAATGTTTTATGTTTCAGCATTTATATTAATAATTTACACAAATAACAATGGAAAACCTACCAATACCTGGTATCTGTCCCTTCTGCCATTCACTTTTTTAAGTGTCTTTTAAGACCCATATTTTATGCACTTGGGGTATTTCAATCAATTTTAGTTATTTTTGATCCTCAAACTGTCCATCTTCAGCCAGGAGGAGTCCCCTTAGTACTGAGGTATCTTTTTACACTCTCCCCTTAGTCTTAGATGGCTTCCTTGCTTACTATCCAAGAATCACCTTGATGTTTCCTGGCCAGAGCTAGAAACAACCATTTCTTTAAGGACCCCTGCCCTGCCTCACTTTACAGGAAAAAAATTTTAGTGACCATAATCTGTATGCCAGCTCAATGCTTTGAAGCTGTCATCACCTCTATCTAGATAGCTAGGTAGGCCTTGGCAGTGGTTGTAGAAATAAGGAATTGTTAAGAGGGGAAAAAACAGTAAAATTATACTTAGATTTCCATCTTGAATTTAAGATTACTGGGTTTTATTAAACTCTTTTCATTTTTCATTTTTATCATTTTCTTTATACGAAAAATCTTAGCTCCTTAAGACATTAATGTAATTGCTTATTTGTTTCGTCTTAGAAAATACAGGTTAATAGTTTCAAAATAACACCACTAATACTACTTCAAAAACTATACTGAATGTAGTTTAAGATTATTTTAAGTTTTTTTGTTGTTGTTTAAACCTTAGAATATATCCCCTCTAGAAATGGTTCCATCAAAATAATGTCACCTGAAATAATTCTTTTCTTTGTGTGGATTTAACACTAGCTTAATGGTTTAATATGCATATGCACTTTTTTCCATTTTTGTGCAGTTTTTAAGGATTGTGATTTTTAATTTTTTTTTATTTACTTCAGACATGTAAAAGTTATATGACTCCAATATCAAATAGAGGTACAATTAACTAATAATGCCAGGCATCTAATTTCCATACCTACATTTTCCTTTCCTTTCCTTTAGAAGTAACCATTATGATCAGCTTTTACTTTACTCTCTCATTATTCATTTTTGAAATACATAGTCAAATTGGATTTATTTATCTAAGACCCCTTTATTCTATAAATATCTTTCTGAATTTAACAATATTATATTCTGAAGATAACATCATAGCAGTACATAGAAATATTTCTCATTCCTTTTTATAGCTACTCAGTGCTCCATTGTACAAACATGATTTAATCAACTACCTTCTTGTTATTGGATATTTGAGATGTTTCCAGTGTTTTCCTTACCAAGTAATCAGAGTATGTACTCTTAACCAATGCACAATGAGGACACTAAAGAAATCTGGAAAAGCACACTGATAATATTTCAAATTTAAAATGTGTATGCCCTCTGACTCAGAAAAACCAGTTTCAGAAATTCGTCCTACTGAATTCTTTTTTAAAAGGCCAGTATATAACATTTACTATAGACTTGTTTATGAAAGTGGCGCTGCAGGATAATGCACTGGCCCCTAAAGTAGGTATGAACCTTAGGGCTGGTAGTTCAAACTTGCCAGCCGTTCCTCAGAAACCCTATACAGGGTTGCTATGAGTCAGAATCAACTAGACAGCACTTAACAATGACAGTTTAAGGAGGTAAGACCTAGAAACAACCTGATGTCCATATGTCAAGAAAATATTTGAATAAATTATAAAATCATAACAAAAAGCTATTAAAAATAATATTTATTCTATACTCACCTGGAAAGATGTCCACGATTATACACAAAAAGCAAAATGAAGGATAATATATAATTCAATCCCTGCAATGATTAAGTTGGACTCCTAGTGTGGTGCTGTAGGATAAGCACTAGACTACAAATTAAAAGGTTGGCAGTTCACACCCACCAGCTGCTCCTTGGAAACCCTATACAGAATCACCATAAGTCAGAACTGACTTGACAGCATTTAATAACAACAATGATTAAGGTTATATGTCAACTTGGCTGTGACACTCAGTGTAATCATCCTATATTTTGTGATATGAGGAGTTTCCTTGGGGGATATGGCCTACATCTAATATATATGGATGATCTGGCAAAACTTGCCCTCTCTCCAGCCTATATCCATCTCATCACATTCTGACCTCTAGTTCTTGGCATGTGAGCTAGCAGCCCAGAATATGTCCCAATAGATTTTGGGATTCATCAACTCTTGTAGTCTGATGATCCCTCAGCCTACCATCTGACCTACTGATATGGCGTTTGTCAGCATCCCTGCAACCACATGAGTCAGGAAAAGCCTCCAGCCTGATACCTGACCCACAGATCTGGAAATTTCTAGTCTCCACAACTGTGTGAATCATTTCCTTCAGATCAATCTCTCAATAGATAGATAGATAAAGAGAGAGAGGCAAAAAAGATCGATAGACAAATACTTCCCTGGTTTCAAAGCTCTAGAGAACTCTGTCAATGACAATCCCATCTTACTAAAGGGTAGATACAAATTTCATAAATGGATACCTATGTTTGTACATCACTATGTTGTTGTTATATGCCATGGAGTCGATTCCGACTCATAGCGACCCTGTACAGGGTTTCCGAAGCTGTAAACCTTTATGGGAGCAGAAAGCCTCATCTTTCTCCCGCGGAACAGCTGGTAGTT